AAGGTAAGGACATACAATTTTTCCAAAGGGGACTACTTAAATTTATGAATGGTAGAACCAGGGAAGGTACTAAGAAGGTGTCCTATCAAATTTTGTTTGATATTCCCACTTAGTAGAGCCCTCTGCCCACCAGACAGAAGAGTGATAGTGTTGGTCTGATATAAAGGAGAAGATGGACACTCTCAGTCTATCACAATGTCTTACTCTAGCTCATAGACCATTAAATATGTTTGGTACATACAGTACTTGTTATAATCATATATTTCAGCCATGAGAATTGCAAGGTGGACAGTATATTAACTGAAAACAAATTACCCAATATTTTTCTTTCACAAAATACTCTTCTATACATTTTTTTAAAAAAAAATCTGATTACTTGCACATGCTACTTTGTTGTTTCTGAAATCCTTGTCTAGCAACAGCTGGACCCTACTTAGAGTAACCTTGAAGAAAGAGGGGAGAAGCCTCAGACATGTGAGGAGTTGGTACAGTCTCCCCTTGTTCCAAAATGAACTGTGTTGTGTTTCTTCTTTAGCAGTCCACTGAGACCTCAGCTTTACTTGTGTTCAGGTTAAAAGCTGTGACAAGCAAATGCTTCTTAACTAGAAAATTATGAATACCAACATATCTTATATCGTTTTAATGCTATTGAAAGTTGACATATTTTTGCCAGACGCAAGTGACAGCTAAACGAGTGGTGTACGCTGCTGTACTGCTGTGGTCAGTAGTATGTATTTCTGAATACCAATAGTGAAAGGAGATTTCAGCATACGTTTTTGCCTTATGCTTTCATTGGTGATTCTCTAAGCAAGCTGGAATAGTCTACTTACAGCTGAATCTGCAATGCTGTCAAGCATAAGGAGGGACAAACTTCATTATACCAGAGTTCGGACAAAGTTGGTTTTGTCCTACACCGTGACTAACCCTGTACAATTTTTATTGGTTTTGAAATTCCTAAGGAAATGTTCAAAGCCCTCGGCACCATGTAAATCTGAACAACTTCTTCAGAAGACACACTTTATTCCCCAGGTAATGCTCATTTATCTTTGATCTCAGGGTTTAAATTATAAAAACCTGAAACAATTTCTTTCTGAGGGGAAAAAATGCCTTCCCTTTTTACAAAATCATCCATTAAGAAAATGTATGAAATTCTTCACTTGCAACTGTGTCTTAAATTTTAACATCCACATAGGAAAACATAAGGTGGCTCTTAAAAGACTTTTTAAACACACTCTAACAGACAGGCTTGTGTGTGTGAGTGTGTGTGTGTGTGTGTGTGTGTGTGTGGTGTGTGTTTAGCTTATAGCTTTCACTCACTAACACAGTTGTAGAAAGAAGAGCATCAAGAAGCTCAGTTTGTCAGTAAGGCAACACACACACACACACACACACACACACACACACACACACACACACACCTTGGTAATCCTGAAGTTCCTCTAAAGCCTCAATCACCCAAACAAAGCCAAAGTTTTGATTTTGATTTTTAAAACTATAAACAACTGAAATAACTGAAAACAAAAGTAAAAATTATCAACTAGTCTTGAGTTACAGTTTCAAGTTGAAAAATGAGTTAAAGCCGTAAAGCTAAAGCAGATAGCATACTTCAAACATTCACAGATGAGCAGTCTTCCTGACACTTGTAACAAATGTCAAGGAGGTCTACTAACAAAAGATGTTCCTATAAAAAGAAAGAGGTAGACCTAAAACGGGGCATATGAGCGCATCTTCTTATTATAGTAGTCACAATGAGCACTATTTCAAAGGGTTAAAGTGATGAGCACAGTTGCTATTTTAACTGGTATTCAGTAGAAATTCTTAATTTCGCTGTATCCAATGTGGGTTAGACTCCAAGTGACAGATTTGCTCTTAACACTGGCATTGTTCCTGGAGCATCCTCATTTGAGCCTTGTTTAAAATCTAGTCTGTGGGACAGCAGGTGTATCGGTGCACTTTAGGATTGTTCTTGCACTAATGCTGATTCAGATACGACACTTGTAAGACTCTAGCACATGACGTGCTATGCCCACAGCCTCTCTCAACTCCTCTTGGCAATGAGCCCATTAGCCACAAATGGCAAAAACTGCTAGCACAAATGTTGAGGGAAAAAGTAAAACCGACTCTCTCAAAATAGGGACGCACGGTTCCCAGGTCTCAATAGAGGGGGTTGAGGAGATATTGTTCTATTTTTTTTAAAGGCTTCTGCTTTTAGTTGGGAAACACATTTACAGATAGGGGAGGGAAGAGTAGCGGAGATACACAAAAGAGGTCTATTTTCAAGATCAAAGACCCTCAGACTCTCAAGCAGACAGTCCTGTTCTCTTCTAGGCTTTCAATGCAAATGTCCTGTCACTGAACTGGGCCAAAAAGACACAGAGCCATTCCCAAAGGAAAAATTAGTTTTCGCCAAGGGAGTCTCACTGGAGATACAAACCACACTTAGGATTTAATGACCACTCAAAGTATCGCAACCTATAGTTCTGCTGAGCAACTGTTAGCTACGCAGGGATATCAGCCCAAATCAGAACAAGAGCTCCTGAACCATATATACCATATAATTCTGGGCTTTTTTACTGTTGTTTCATGCAAAATGTATTGTTATAGTAATAGTCCCATCAAATCAGAACTCTGTTTCAGTGTTTGAGTCCTGGTGTCTAAAAATGAATTTTTTTTTCTGAAAAGCACTTTTTGTTGGGATTAGCCACAAACAAGGTCGGCTTTCTGAATGTCTTTACTCCTGGCATGAGTCTGGTTTTTGGTTTTTCTATTTTCAGCTCAACTCCAATGAAGCCCAAGACAGGCGCTCACAGAGGAGCTTCTGAGCACACCACAACGGTGAGCTGCTGCAGACGCGGCCATCCCTCTTATTTCCTCGAGTACTTCCTTCACTCTTCTGCTGATGCCATTATGAAAAATAGTGCTGGCACAGCCAAACAGCCCCTTGACATCCTTTCTCATTTATGTGGCTAACTTATTCTTTAAATTTTATTTTCAAAGAAGATATTAATGTTTCATGGAAGGACATCTATACATAGAGTTTCTCATGGTGGGGTTTGTGAATTTAGTATACTGAAGTACTTCATTAATTTAAAAATTCAATTCCCACAAAACAAAAGGCTACCAAAGATCAGAAAGCATTTGCACAATTTTAAAACTGAAAATGAAGAACATTTGCTTCTACTCACAAATAATTGGCAAATTAATGTTAATGGAGCTTCCGTTCATTTCTTAATTTGATAAGGTAAACTTTCTAAGTCACTATAATTATATCATTATCAATTTTCAAGTAATTATTATGTTTTGACTCATAATAAATAGTCTTATATCTTAACACTTCAAGATTTTCATACTTCCATTAAATTATTCTATAAAAGTACAAAGACATGTCACTTATACTTTAAGTTCAATTTCAACACCTCTTCTCCATAATATCTTCTCCATAAGACTTAGGCTTATAACTTAGCTAATAAAATACATGGAACATTTCAAGACAAAATGTAAGGGCACCAAAACCAATGCTATGCAGCCATGCTTAGGATCATCAAAATCTATTCATTTTCACCCCATGTACTATTCTACTGATTACTTTTTAATCTAAGATGTACATTTCATAATGATGAATAGAGAGGATTTTATTACATGCAGTTGAATGAGCTTTAAAAAAAGTCTTACCTATGCGGGTGACATGTCATTTGTAATAAGAACATAGTTTAATATTGAGATGTAATGAAATTAGAAATCGGCAATAATCCACAGCATAATGAAAATTTTAAAGAGGTTCAAACTCATCTAAAACCCAAAAGATACTTTTTGAGATGTTTTGATAATCCTAAGCATTTAAGTATTAAAACTTCACATGTGCTAGTGAATACTTCTGATAATAAGGTAGAATAGGCATAGCTTTAATTCTAATTTGTGTAAGAACATTGTTTTTCTTTATTTACTCTTTATTTTCAGTTGCGGAGATCAAACAGAAGGTCTTGTCGTTATTAGGCAAGCTAGGTGTCTCTGAGCTACTGATAGGCTGTGAAATAAACTCCAAATCACAGAATTGTTCACATTAAATGTGTTAATATTTCTGAAAGGCGACCAGTGATTTTAAATAGATAAATATATAGACAGACAGACAGAGAAACAGACAGATAGATCATAAGCAAAAGTTGTACCTCTGAAATTTAAATGTTAGTACACTGAATTTTTTACTCATAGTATTAAAACCAATTAAAATAAGTTTCAATTTTATCTTAATTTTGAACTCTAAAACAGTATAGTTGTTGATTCTATTCAATACTAATATAGTCAAGTATAGGTAAATGGAAATTTATACAAAATGAAAAACTTGTTTAAAAAGACATAGAAAGAACATTGTACTCTTTTGATTTCAGAGAGACTTAAAGCATCACAGCTTGTGGCAGATAGAGCCCTGCTCAGGGTTCATAGTACAGGACAACACTAGAGCAATGCACCTAATGTGCACAATGCCATAAGCAAAGTTATTGACATGCTATAAAGTCACCCAATCCTAAAATATACATATTGGTAGAAATAGCACATCATAATACATTATCTATTCAGTATGCTGCATCTCTTGAAAGCAATATTGTATTCTCATTTTTCTGTTTTGAAATACTTCATATACCTAAGATATCACTTATTAATTATAGTAAACCTCTCTATTTCCAAAGATAATTCCTTTATTATTACTAATATGATAATTCATATTATAAAACTCTGCAATCTAAAATGTTTCCATTTAGACAAATCGTAACATTTTGAAGGCAATATATAGCAAGTCTGGTTATATTTAACTTCTTGAGAAAAAGATAAATGGTAACTTCTGGAATCGTAAAATTTGAATTCTGGCTAGCTTGCCTTCACTGGCAGAGTACTTTCAAGCAGTGGTTGGTATTTTCAAATATCTTTAATGGTGACATAAACTCAGTGTACATAGCTCAACCTTCCCCTGGGAATACCATATAATTAGAGAAGAGGGCACTTACCATGTTCCAGCCAGGATAAAGGTAATCCGTGCCCACAAATTCAAAGTAGTGGGCAAAGCCTTCCTTCAACCAGACATCTTCCCACCATACCGGAGTCACGAGATCACCGAACCACTGCAAGAACAGAGTTGAATGAGCATATAAAAACAAAAACAAAAAAAAAGCATCCATCTCAGGATGATTTTACCTGAAATCAATGGGCTAATCTGTGATTATCATAACTGGAAATCACTGTGAAATTGATGTTGTGATCTTAGAATGTGTTGTGGCAAGACTGTAGTGATTAATATGACTACTAGTATTTTATAAATATGCTCAGTGAAGAACAAAAATCGGAATCAAGAACCCAATAGGAATAATTAAGTTGATGAAGAAACAAGCCATGAATCAAAGTTGGTGACAACTGTCTTCAGAGATTGGAAGACCCACAGTATAGAAGAAAATATGTAGTTTTTTGACACTACAGGGACATACTGGGATGAATGAATGAAAATTAGAAGCAGACAGTGTCTGCTGAAGATGCAGAAGACTCTGAATGGTGGCCCAGAAATGCCACTAGAGTGTTAGTTAGCGGTCACTGTGGTCATGAAACATCTCCCTCTGAAGCAGAAGGAAATCACAGAGCCCACATTGACTAATGAATCCCACCAAAGGCTCTGAAGATCCTCCATGTTTGATTCTCTTGAGAATGAGCAATTGAGCCAATAAAATCTGATATGACTCATGAAAAAGTTTTAACTGGTATTTTGACTAAATAAAATATTAGAAGATAACAATACACTACTCTGAAAACTTTACTTTTTCTAAATTTGTTAACATAAATATATCCCAAGTCACAAACATTCCAAAAAAGATTTAAAACTCAGTGAAGAAAACCTTGATAATGTCTATTCCCACACAGTTGACAATTATGCATGATATATAACTAAAAAAATAATAACAAACAGCATAATTTTGAATCTTCACAACGTGACAGAGGAATGGAGATGGGACAGCTTATGATGACACAAACAGAATCCTTCTATGAGTAGATGAACCTTGGGCTGAAACTTTTACGGTAAGGAGCCAGCCATGGGACAGTCTTGGGCAAGAGGATTCCAGGCAGACAACAGACATGAGTAAGCCACAGTGAAAGAGTCTCTGTGAACATAAGCTCTTTGAGAAGCAGAAGATAGGGAAAGCTGGGTTCTGGTAGATCAGGTAAAAGGAAGACTGAAACATTCTCAACAGTTAAAGACACACCAGGTCATGCACAACTTCTAGCGTCATCACAGGCATAGATCAGGGACCCAACCACGTGTTCCAATGTTAATAATAAAGTATCATTTCCTTTAAGGAATCTCTTATTGAAATATAAAAAAAATATAGTTCCAAATAGGGTGATGTCTGTGCAGCCTTTACTTTGCATCTTTTACTATATCCAAAATACTCTTTCCAATTGACAACCTGTCTTCAGAATTGTGACAGCAAGCAGGTGAGGAGGATAATAGAGAAATCAAGTGTGAAAATCGGAATGCAATCATGGCAGGTGTTTCCCTTAGCCTGTCTCCTTTCTCTGTGGTAAGGGGCCTACTACCACTGGGCTATCATAGGAAACTGATGCACAACAGGAAACGTGGTACAGGCAGAGCCATGACCAATGACAGTAATGACAGTACTACCACTGTGCTCCATCTCAACAGACACACAGACCTCTTTCATCTTGCAGGAATATCCACTCCCCAAAAAATTACATTTGACTCAGAACTATAAGTCAAGGCAGGAACCACTCTGGCACTGAAGGACCCCAGTTTCACCCGCAGTGACTCCTCTGTAACCTGAGGACAGAAACACGTCTGTCTTGGTAGGCACAAGGGTATCACTCTCTCAGTGGCTCACTGCAAGAGACAGAAAATAGCCAGGCAAATAGTCACCCAGCACAGACCTCATCAAAAAATTCATTCATAAGCATTTAACTGCTCATCTTTCTTCACTATCAGCATTTTCTCTCTTTTTTTCAGTTTTTCTACATTTTAAAGGGGTTTGGAGTTTGTAGCATATAAACCTCTCTGAGCACCACACTGTGATTTCTGGTTTTTGAAGCATGAACCATGCTATGGTATCCATAGTTCCTAGCCAATAGGGTCAGCATTGCTGTCTGTTAACAACGTCGGATTTCCGTGACTTTTTTTTTACAAAAATGATAATTAATAGGTGTTGCAAAGTATCAATAAACAAGCTTCCACTGTTAAGAACGTTCATAAAATCAAAAAGAAATTAATTTTATCTTAGTTTTACAATGAAGTTGTCCAATTTACAAAAAAACAAATCACTCTTGAGAACAAAGTGTCTATGGCTGAGTTAGCGAAAGACTTCCTACGTGTCTGCATGACAGGGAAAGAATAACAATCCGATTTTGGCAAAAGCAAATTTTGACACATACACAAAACTCAGCAGCATCTCTCCACAAGGAAATAAATCAGTTCCTCACTGCACTTACCATATGTACACACTAATAATCAAAGAAATAGAGGCATGGCTGAGCAACAACTACACAGGGGCTCAGAAGGGGCAGCCACTCCATCACACATTTCGGCTAAGCACGGTGACAGTTGCTTACCTGATGCCATCAGTTAGCGTGTGTGTGCTTGCCTTATTGTCTGAGAAAAATGGCACGCCATGCCGAGGAACCGCACAGTGGTTTGTTAAAACATAGCTCGGAGGACACAAACCAAGCTCCTCATCTGGATGGGCGAAGCCACCCCACGTGCCAGACAGTTTCCCATTATACTTACACCTGGTCCTCTTCTCGTACCTGGTGACATATTTCGTGAACAATGACCATGGTGACATCCAGCAGATATGAAATAGATGAAACGCTGGGGTCCAGCAGTATCCTTTGTTCCACAAAAATACTTAGTCCCCAGTTCTCCATAGCAGCGTATGGATGCTTAGGCACAGCTAAAAGATCTAGAAATAGAATAAAAGAGTTCCGAAGGTTTTAGCAGTGACACCAGATTAGCTAAATTTCTTCAGCGAACAAGTTCAAAAGTCCTAATAAGAAGGAACACTTGCTCTTTATTACTTCTTTTAATTAAGCACTCAGCCATGCCTGCATGACAGTAGAAATATAGGCTATCACTATTGATGCTCCTCAAATTCATCCATCACCGTTCATTTCCAGGCACAGCACTCCAGGTTGCTGGAAGTATCCCCAACATTATTGATGGACCCATCCTAATAAGTTTCAGAACGTCAAGGAAGCCAAATGCACCAGGAAGCCAGAGTCAAAGGCTTTGTGCCTTCTAATGAAAATTTACTCAGCTCAGTGTGGGGCTGAGAATATTATCACTTTTATCTCAAATCTATCTTGGAGAAAACACTTCATATTAGTTTTTAAATGGGCTGTCATTTTTTTTTCTAATTTCTTAAATTCTAGTATGTTCTTTTGGTCCTGTTAAAAAATAAAATGCTACGTTTAATCTTAGCCTATAGAGAAAACGATGGCAGTGGACGCAGTGGCAGAGGGAGAATAGAGTGGACCCATGGGCTTCGGTCTGGGTTTGCCACCATCAGCTACAGATGTGACATCACTAAATCACTTAGTTTCTCCGAACCACAATTCCCTCACCTATAAAGTAAGGTTATTGGCTTTTTCTTTAAAATGCCTTCCAGCTCAAAAAAAAACCCATAATTAGATGAGTCTAAGAATGTGTGCTTATTTTAAAAGGTTGTGCAGCTATTATCAAGTTTTGATTATAGTGAGCAAAAGAAATACATGTTTCGCTTACCCTCCCTGCTCCAGACTCGTAGCAATGGTAAATAAAATATTTAGAAAGAGGACTAATCCCCAGGCTCAGAAAGTAAATAAGCCTCTCAGTGGAACTGAAATGGAACCCAAATGCAAAGTGGTTATTGTGTGAAGCTCCGGCCCTACTGGTCTCTGGCTCCAAAAGCAGGCAGTAGCAGCTGGGAATTGGCTCTGGCAGGACACACTAGAGCCAAAAATACCATTGCCAGGTTGACTGTTTGATGCCAAGGACTGAGGTAAGGCATGCCCACTCAGGAGAAGAGCAGAAAATAGCTGATGCCCACTGCTTCCTGGAAGTGCTAGTAAGGGCCAATTAGTGTTTGAACCCTGGCTCCTATGCATTTGTTCCTTATCATAATGAACAACCTCATTCCAAAATGGAAATCGGTCTCAGTATAATCCTTGGAGTAATGTACTCCAAAGCTATCAAGAAACTGTATGAGAATGTTCATTGTAATGTTGTTTCTAAAAGGGAAAGGGGGAAATTAAATGCCTTTCCGCCAAGATAATACACAAAGAAGCGAAGAAAGCATTCCATAAAGGAATAGTACATAGCAATTAAAATAAATGATCTCACCACTGGGTTCTGCCACTAAAGGCACCAGCATAGACAATCTGAGAAATACAATAATGAAGAAAGAAGTTATGAAATGGTATGAAATGGCCCCTATACTCACCAGAAATAATTAAAACAATACTGCATCATGTAAATGTGTTTCACACATGTAGGTCACCCAGAGAGTAATGGAAAATATCCATGCAAACAATCACAGTAAGCAATTGTAAAGACACTAATTCTAACTTTAGGATCACTACTGCTATTGAAAAGAAAAAAAAAAGAATGGAGGACAGCCACATGAGGAATTAATGTCTTCATATCAATGTTTTAAAGCATATCAATGTGAGCACATCGATATTAACATAATAGTATTCATCCTTTTATGTGTGCTTTAAATATTTCACAACAAATAATTGAATAGAATAGTCAACAGTCTTAGCACACTATTGATTTTTATTTATTTCCGTCTTTTCAGTATGGATGCTGCTCTGAAATCTGAAATATGTATTAATGGAAGCCAAATATATGCCCGAATTCTTCTCCATTTTAAATTCACAATGAAGCTGTGACAACTATAACACAGACAAACAGAAGATTTAAAATTCTATGAGAGAAGATAAAATTATCCGTTTGGAAGATTCTTGAAAAATGTGTTATTTATCAGCCTTCAAACTGTGACTAGGATTTCAGTAGGCATGGAGGATAGCCTGTTCATTCCTAGGATTTTAATTAACAAAAATAAGTCACCTGTGCACCTATGTATACAGCAAAACCTTACTGATCATCGCCTTTATGATGTATTGCTTTGTTATTATTGATTATATTTTATTATTATTTATTATATTATTGTCCTGGTAAGCCCCTTACTATCTGCAGAGCAATGGTTATGCATTGAGGAGAAGTTCAATTAGTGAGTAATAACTGAAAGAAAGAAATGTAGTAATTAAGAAGTGCTAGGATTCCAGGCTGTGGTGGTGCACACCTTTAATCCCAGAACTCAGGAGGCAGAGGCAGGTGGATCTCTGTGAGTTCGAGGTCAGCCTGGTCTACAAGTGCTAGTTCCAAGACAGGCTTCAAAGCTACAGAAAAACCCTGTCTCATAAAAAACCAAACAAACTAACTAAAAAGAAGTGCTAGGAAATACATTCTGGTATGAATGTTACTGGGTGATTAAGTATGGTCTCTGTACTATAATCACCTTTGCCTGGCATGTGAGCCATTTTAGAAGCTAGCTTATATGAAGACCTGTACAAGTATATTCTGAAGGAGGATAGAAAGCACAGCAGTGCTTCATGTGGGGAAGTGCCAAATACTTTGGACAAACAGAAAGAGGGTTTGTGTGTCTACACCATCTAAAAGTGGCGCGATAGACCACAGGACTAGCACATAGGGAAAGTATCTAACAGGTGAACCCACTCACTTTACATAATTGAGGACATTGCTTAAGAATGAATAAAGTCGATATCAGGCTTACAATGTGTCAAGTTTGCCTGTCATTGGGACTTGGTGACAGTAGTAGCTGGCCAAGCATCTTTTACTTCTTGAAAGACATGGACCTATGTGAAATTTTCTTAAAGTCTGTTGGAATGAAGAACCAAATCTGAATGCTGTAGACCCTCATGAGCACGGAGGAGGAGGCCAGTCCTCACAGTTGAGTGAGCGGAACACACTGATCTGGATGGGTCGAACAACGTAGAGAAAAAACTGACAACACTGTGATCCATGTATGCCACCTCGAAGTCTGTGATCAAAGGGAAATTGCAGTTCATAGTTTGCAAATTACTAATAAGCAGTATAAACCCAGATCCAGCTAGGGAAAGCACGTGTCGCGCAAACACAAGGACATGCACTCCATTCCCGCCCCTTACGGGGGTGTGTGCTTTTAACCTAGCACTGGTAGGCAAAGACAAGTGAGTTCCTGATGTCTGCTGGCCAGCCAGCCCAACCCAGTAAGTAACTGCCAGATCACAATTGAGAAACTACCTCAGAAAACAAGTTGAATGGTTTCTGAGAAGTGATGCCCAAAGTAGTAAACCTCTGACCTCTATATAGTCTGGCATATACTAACATGTGTGTTCTTTTATACATACACACACACACACACACACACACACACACACACACACACACATATATATATATATATAAACACACACACAGAAATAAATAAATAAATAAATAGAAGGTATGATAAGGGGGCACTTGCTGGCTGGTACCAAAGATTTTATACACTGATGGTGTATGGTTTCAACAGAAGTATGGAGGCATAGAAATCTGAACAACAGTGTCATAGGTAACCAAGCAAAAATTCTTAACAAATAGAGCAAATTCAGATAAAGTGACTGATGGACAGGATTTAACATGGTAGGGTTAGTAATTATGGACAGCTTCTTAGGTATAGATATAAAAAACATTAATTATGGGAAAATACATTTATGGATAACAGGGGAGGTAAAAAAAAAAAAACAGAAAGTCAAAGTGGTCAGATTTGGTACCGACCACACATACGATAAGCTTTGTTTCAACATGTTGGAGAATTGGTCAAATGTCTTTGGAAAGGACGATTTTTATAACTATTCAGAAACTGAGGAATCTCAGAACATAGTCCTATATTTGAAGAATATCTGCATCAGTGAATTGCTAGGGACTAATATGGAGCTGCTTCAGCCTAGCACTAGGAAACATGGTGGAGTCAGAATGTTCATTATGGTGATGGGCAAGTATACATTAAAGCATCACGTTGTACACAAAATATACCCTGTGTTATACCTCAGTGAAGCTCCTTTGTAAAGGGTGAGGGTAACTGGAGAAATATTCTGCTTCTTTGAGGCATATAACACTTACCTACTGAATTAAGTTCTTTTAATTTTGCAAAATAATGTGACTATATCCATTAAAATATACATCTGTAATTTTTTAATGTACCTTGAAAACAAGAAAACTCACATTTCAGAATATAATTTACTTAAAAATTCAAAGAAAGCCCTAGATAAAATTATATATTTTGTTCTTCAAAATTGTAGCTATTATCCAGAAAACTATAGCTAGACCGAAGGGGAAAATCACATAATACTAATGAATCTGATGACCTACATTAACATAAAAGTCTATGTCTGCTCTCTCCACTCCTCCTGACTCTAGTAAGTTACAATGCCTCTACCATCCCAGGACAAGGCTGAAATGGCTCAGACAGAAGCTGCAACATCTCAGACATGCTCTCTAACTTTTGTTTTATTCTGACATCTCTGAGAACTGCATGATTGGTCTGTAAATAATAGCAGGGAGTCCATGCTTTCCTCTCAATTCTCAGATTGCCTTTTTGTTGTCACTTTGCTTTGGGTTTTTTGTTTGTTTGTGTACAGTGGTGTGGGACAATTGTCTTTTTCTTGTCAATTATATTATATATAAATGCTGATTGGCCAGTAGTCACACAGGAAGTATAGGCGGGACAACCAGATAGGAAGTAGATAGGGGTCAATGAGAACAGGAGAATTCTGGGAAGAGGAAGTCTAGTCTGCAGTTGTGATCTGATCACAGGAGAAGCAAGATGTGCCCTGCTGAATAAGGTACTGAGTCATATGGCTAACACAGATAAGAATA